GGATTCCTTCAGGGTGAAGGGGTCACAGGCTTTCTGCCATGAGCCAAATGACCTGCAGAGGTCTCCTCTACTTCAAAACAAACAGACCCGGAACTTGAAATTAGTGTGAAGAATGTGAATTTTAGGTAAGTAACAGTCACCGTCTGTTGATTTCAGGGAACAAAGAATATCCGGAGACTGCAGTCTGAGTTGTCATTAACTTCCTTTTACAGTACTTGAGGTCATTTTGCCTTTCTTCCTCTTTCACAGAAGCCATGATGGATAATAGTGTATGCAGATAAAGAGATTGTTAGCTTTATTTCTGTGTTCTATGCAAACAACAACATCTTAAGCATAATTCCCCTTCTTACCTGACAAACATCACAATAAATGACACTGCATTAGCCCCTTTTAAGACTGCGATTGCAAAACAGCGACGTAACCAAGCTCAGCGTTTGCACATTCATATTGATTCCCTAACCACGGAATATTGATGTCCCAGTCTGTGATATCACACTGTACCCTGATAGGTGTAACATAATGTGTCAAGAAACAGCGGGGGGTCCACACACACTCACACAGCACAGTTCTCCTCAGCTGGCTCCGCTGTCTTTCTGTGATCCCGTCACGCCCCTGTGATGCCTTCGATGGCGGCACAGAGGTGGAACGACTTGGTCTCTCCATTACATCTTTGTTGACAAAGAGGGTTAAATATTGAGCTCTGAACAGGCAATATGAATAGGGCTATTAAAACTAATTGGATTAATAAGCTGCCTTCTGTTGTTACCAACAACGTGAATTCTTGGTGTGTAGGAGCAAAACTGTGTCAACACTAAGCGAGGAAGTGGCCTTTACTTACTGCTGATAACACTCGTTTATGAAGCTCTGCAGGCCGCAATGCAAAAATACATCCTCAACAAATGGATCAAATCCTGTAGAGATGGGTCATAAAGCATCCAGAAAGGGCTTAGAAGAGAAGTTTATGACCCATTTATGAGCCAAAACATGACGCTACAATACACTTCACTTCCTAACCCACGACCAGTTTAACTCTTATTATTATACTGGTTATACTTAAGTGCACCACCGAACTGGCAACATTGCTGCCTATTGTTTATTAGAGCTCGGAGCTCAAAAATAGAAAAAGGTTTGAGTCATGGCAAATTCAAACGTCTGAAGGGAGGGGCCGGGGAGGTAGTATGCCAAGTCCGCCACAGAAGCTGACCACTCAGGGGGCTGCTCGACTCACAGGGGAGGGGCTAATGCTGGAGTTTGAGGCCCCATTGAGGGAGTGCTCAGAATCTCTGCAAGCAAAATATTTGATCAATGACTCACAGCAGACGCACATTAAGACACAAGGGCTCTCACACACACACGCACACACACTTGCCTTCCATTCTCCGTTAATCCAAAATGAAACCGAATCAAACACACACCCCCCTTCAGACATCTCCCGTGACAGGACCCAGGGCTAAAAAAGTCAAGTTCACCAGGAGAATATAAGACGTCGAAAATAAAACCAGAACACTCAAACACTGAGAAAAAGACACATGCAGTGCGGCTGCAGCGACACACGGGATACAGCCCACACTCATGCGGTGCACAGCCAGTCCCTGGCATGTTGGAAATATCTGGAAGCCCCCGTACCCAGGCTGCAGCTGGCGGAGCTCATTCAAAACTCAACAGGCCTGTATAGGTACAGCCCAGCGTGCAAACATTACTTCACTGAATTATGTCCATGGACGGCTACAGCTATCATATGGTTAGAATTTTAGTATTATCTGCATGTGTTGAAACAAAAGAACAACAAATCAGAGGTCCGGTTTCTAAACAGCTTGAGCTGTAACATTAAAAAAAATCTAACAGCAGCATGTGCAGGTTTAAAAATAATCACAGACCTTTAGGAAAAGAGACGCACACAGTGACAAACTGATCCTGTGTGGTCCAACAGAACAAACAATCCCCTCCTGGGATGGATACAACCCCCCCCCCTCCCGCAGGCCCCTCACACACACATACACTGACACATAAGCTAATGCATACACATCTGCTCTCACTCAAAAAGGACACTCTCACACACAGGCACATTCAAAGACACACATATATATGCTTCGCACCCCCAGAGCCAACACTCGGCGTGCCACACCCTGTCAAAGTCTAGTGGTTGGTTCTGCTGGCATAGACGAAAGGATGCCAGTCAAACATCCGTAGTGTCCTAGCAACACTAGAAACACTGAGTAATTGACCATCTCTCCTAGCTGGCTTCATTAAAGACTTTGGTCCATTTCGGTTACGTTTACAGGTTTCTTTTTATACAATTTAAAGTTGTAGTGGTTGCTCGTCACACATGCTTGTGCACAAACCAGACACCCATGAAAAAGTGAGCAAGAGTACAACCTGTCATCTCAGTTCTAATGAGTAGGAGTGTGACGCTTTGGTGCTACATTAACAAGGTAGGCTACATTCAGAACTAATGTTATTTACTGTTAGTTTTAGCACCGATATTAACTTTGGCAGAGCATTTGAGCGCTGTTATCACATCCTCTATGCTATTTAATTATTGCTGAAATTAGGGCTGAACAATATGTTGTTTTACCATCATAAATACAATTGTGAAATGTTCATGTGAGGTAGTCACATCCCAGAACTTACAATGTCAGTCAGGCTACCTGAAGCACGTCATTCTGCCACTGCCAGTGTTGTGTGATGCGAATCGAAACCGTCATTGTTTTCATTTCCATGACTAATCTCCAATAGAAATTTGTTTGATATCACCATCAGTAGTCAGAGAACTGACCACCATGCATGTAGAGTCGGTGGGTCCCCTGCATGTGCAAAATGGATTAGTTACAGGCGACACTGCCACCGTCACAGATACATCAGCAGGACGCTCGAGGGAGACGCTTAATCACAGATTTGAAATGAGTGTATTCCCGCACCTCATTTGAGTGCTTGTTAATGCCGTGGCAAAATATACAGATTGTTAACGGAGCAGATGTGCCGCTGATTGTTTACCTTTAGCAGCTACACCTGCAGCGCACACGCTAAAGTGTTATCAGAGTCACAGGTAGCTTTACACGGTGAAATGTAAATTAGTTAGAAGTTACGATCACAGGGCTAAATCATGTCGGCTAATTGTAAGTGAACATTGTTGAAAGTGTTTGCTGATGTAACAAGTTTAATTGTACATTTTATGTTGAACCCCCTGTTCTCTTTCCTTCCAGCTTTTGTCCCTCTACTCTGTGGTTAAGTCAGAGTCAGGGCGCACTCACACTAGGCAATCTGAAGCCATGCCCAAGCCCCCAGCACACTTTACCCCTAAAGTCCAATTTGTTAGAGTGGGTGCTCAGCTCAAGCACAGGATTGTTATCTTCTTCCTTTTTTGATTTTAAAATGATTTTTTTTTTTTTTTTTTTTTTAAGTGGAAAATGTGGCCAGAAAGGATGACTAATTTAACAGCTAGCATGTGGGTAGTGGGTGGTGGTATTTTCCAACAAAGATTAATCGGAAGATGGGAAACGAGAGAACAGATGCTGCCTACAGACAGGTTTTCCTATAGATGACAGATGCAGTTATTACAAATCAGATACAAATACAATCTATATCCTCCTCTGAGGCAGGTTGGCCTGTAGATAGGTTTACAATCTCGCTACCAATGAAACCAATATCGTTAAAGCAATCAAATAACAATATTAGACAAGTCAATAGTGTCTAAAATTCTGAAAATTTACTAAACTTTTTTGAATCTAAAAGACAAGTCATATCATTTCTTCCATAACCCAGAATACAAATGTTGTTTGAGAGGACTTTACAGCCTGTGCAGAAAACAATACGTCCTTTTGATAGCCCCTCAAGTGGCATCAAATAAAACAACCCAAAAACATTCATGAGAATAAAAGATAAGAAAACTGAGATAGAGGAAAGATGAAGCAGAGCCCAGCAATCAATGCCCTGTGTATAGAATCATAGCATATTCAACCTATACACGACTTATTTCCAATGCATTTAGATTGTATAAAATATTGGAGGAATATGGAGGTGATAGAGAGGAATGTGGAGAAATCAAATATCCTGAAGTCTGAAAATGTCCTTCTCTTTTCCTTCTATGCTTCCTAACTCTTTGAATTCAGGCACTGTAGCGGTGCCCTGAAGGCATCGTTTACAGCCAACCACTGTGGAGGTGGCCGAGACATGCAGGTCTGATGGGGGGGGGCTGATCGAAGTGTGCACATTTCCAGGTGGATCATGATTTATAAAAAGGGAACATTGTGTGCAGGTGTGCGTACGAATGGTTTTAAAAATCTGAAATATTTTGGGCGCACGTATCTTTCAGTATGGATTCTACGCACTGATTTAAACTCCTTTCACTCTCTCCCTTTAACACTTACTACCTTTAACTGACCATCGACTTCTTTCTGTATCCCCCTCTTCTATTTCTTTCCTTTTTTTATTTCCCATCTTCGTTATGTTAGTCATTGTTTGAACGCCTTTTAATGCCTCGTACAACACATTAACAGGTCACACCGTAAATCTTCAGGCACAGCCCCTTCAAAAGTCTACCAGCTGTTCCACTAACAGCTCTGGAAAAAGCACCACATGCACGTACATGCCGCACTCCCACACTTTTAACGGAGAAAAATGCACATATGCAAAGACAGACACAGACACAGGTGTCGTCACATTGATGCGCTCAACAGATCGAATGCTGTCTGCAACCAGGCCAATCAGAGGAGGGGCTGCACTGCAGTCTGGACTGTTTCTCTCGGCTCGGCAACAGAGAACAAACTGAATTGAATTTTTTATCATCACTGGTGCGCACACAAGCCTCACAATCAAGGAAATAACACACAGCGTTGTGTTTTCAAGTTCTGGGAAATCTACTTTGATTGGATGTGAAGGCAAAACAACTTTGCAGTGGAAAATAACTGTCGAGTGTTGCTCAAGGAACCGTAGTAAGTCGTGTATTTTCGTGTTCTTGTTTTTGTTTTTTTGTGTTTGCTTGGTTTCGATCGGTCACTCACTTGCATGTTTGTCTGCCAGGGCGATGAGTGTGCTGGAGATGTCCCTGCGCCGGTAAAAACACACCACTTTGGCCTCCACGTTCCCATTGGCTGTCTGCAAACCAGAGACAATCGGCGTTACCACGGCAACAAGTGGTGCCACACACAGAGCACCTACACACACACACACACACACACAGATGAAAAAAAAACCCATAGATGATAGTTCTTAACTAGGGCTGAAAACACAGTGTGAGACTACGGCAATTCTCCTAAAATCACAAGAAGTGCTGCAGCTTTCACAGAGCTGAGGTTCCTATGCAGCCTTTCTTTCTTTTTAGGAATACTACACTGGTTAGCTGATAATTATGTTGCTTTTAAATTAAGAGCTGCATGACAATGTTTCATCGAATCCTACCTGCCAAAATGAAAAACACCTGAGCACTTAAAAGCAGTGAGGCTCATTTGGAAATTGATTAGAAGTCTTTTTTTTCCTCTCTCTCCCCCAAACATCAAAGAAAATGGAATAATAGAGTTTAAACTGCAATATTGATAAACTGTGGTTCTCTAAAGTGTCACACATCATTGATAATCTCATCATAGGCCGAGCATATTGGATTAGGAACTCTCTCATGAATCCAACTGGTGAGATGTAATGTGAGAGCGAGCTGGATGGAGAGATGCAGAAAAAGTAGAAACACATTCAGCATGAAGTAAATCTTCACTTTCTAGACAATTTAGCACAACAGACTTTTGACACTCAAGAATTCATTCAAATGTAATTTCCATGTCTGACAAACACAGCAGTAAGACAATCCCTTTTTTTTTTTTTTAATTGCAAACTGAAGCAATTTTTCTTGACAGATAAAGGAAATGTTTGTAGGAAAATCTACCCTTCCTTTGGTGATTTCACACATGCACAAAACTCAGGGTGAGCTTTATGTGTGAACACGCAGCTTAATTTACACTCCCACTTCACCCCTGCTTTTACTGCAAGCCCCCTAGTCAATTTTCCGCATGAAGTCAGGGTGAGCTGATTGGAGAACACAGCAGGAAATATTCTTCACTGTGAAGGAGCGGGAGAGGGTGATGACACTTCTATCCTGTGATGGTGACCTGTGTGAGACCAGAGCGATCTCCATGCACATGATTAAACTTCTTGATCATGTTTTTTTGTCATCCTCCGCTCTTTCTTTGGTACTTACTTAAATATATCGATCTATACTGATATACTGTCTCAGAGAGGAAGTGGAGAAGGCAAGGATTGATTACACGGGAATATGTGTACTAAACAAAGAAGTGGTAAGTGTCATTTCTATGACACGGGAGCATCAAGGTGATCTCTAATAAGATGACAGTCGAGCAACAAAGATGAAAAAAGTTCATCCATGGCTTGTACTGAGCAATCTGGAAACTGAGCAAGTGAGGTCGGTTTTGAGCAGAAATACCAAATGCTAACACTGGTAGCATTGCTTTGTACTTAAGGAAATTGTGTTCATTACGCCCACTTCTTTTATGACCAAACAAAATATTCATCAGCAGTGTAATCAACATTGAAAGACTTGATGGCGGCAGATTCTTAAATCAGCAAAATTCTTAGGTGTTTCCTGTGTTTTTCTGTAGTTTTGAGCAGCTGTGGATTGTTCCCACATTGTTTATCTCCAACCTTATGGAGGAGAAACCCTCAGATCCCTGAGGCGCAGGAGGACTGACAGTGACAGGCAGAATAGAGGGCTAACTCTGCACTCTCTGTCAATCACATTAAACAGCCTCCATATTATCCAGCACAGGCCCGGGACAGGGGACAGACAGCGGGCACCTGTAACCAGTCAACAGAGACGGGCCTCTTTTTCTGCTTCTTTCATTGCACTGTGAGAGACGGCAGGCTGAGATTTACCCGAAATCATCCTGAGCAACATATTAGTCATACCTGTGACGTTACAAAAATGTTTTTAGTCTGACAAAGACGAACTCTTTGAAAGACCCAATTTCTACTTTCAAAAATGAAAACTCATTTTTTTTCCAATATTGTCTATTATGATCAGTATTACTGTTATTATTCTCATAAAGTAAACAACTCTCTTTAACAAATATTAAAATCTTTACGCTGCCAGTGTCTCAAATGTAGATCATTGTAGTTTAGTATCTATGCGTCCATTCATGGACACTCATTCAAGCTCAGACACACTCACCTTGTTCAACTCCTCTATCCTCCTGATCAGCAGTGGGTTACTGGACGAGTTCTCAAAATAAACATAATCTGTGAGAGGAAGAGAAAGAGGAAGAGAAAAGGGGAAAAAATGTCAGTCAATGAGAGTTTTTGAGCTCTTCAAATTGTTCAGAGTGACATCCAGTTGCACGGCATTGGTGACAGCTTAATTAGTCAATGAGAAAGTGAAAAAAAGACGTCAGTCGAGTATTTATAACGTTACATTCACATGAGCTCGAGGTGTAGTTGGGAGGTCTGACTGAATGAGACGTCGATGCACCAATGCACACACACACACACACACACACACACACACACACACACACACGGGCTCCTAAACCTCCCATTGAGACTGCAGCCTTGTATTTCCTCATGCTTTCTTTGTCTTCCTTGCTCCGTTCATCCCCCTCTATGTGTGTTATTGTTTTGGTTTGCATGCATCATGCATCTGTGTGGGTGTGAAGGAGAAGCTTTACCACGCATGTGTGACCTTACTATGCATTTGTGTGTGTGTGTGTGTGTGTGTGTGTGTGTGTGTGTGTGTGTGAGTGGCTCCTGGCTCGGCTCCAGACCCATTGGAGGTTTAGCTCTCACCAGGATGTCCCCGCAGGCCCTAGTCTTGGTAGGGTGCCTGGTCTTAGCCCTGCATGTGTCTTGGCTGAGTGCTGTCAGATTATACCCCACACTTGGAAGGCTGCCTGGAGCTGGAGCTATCCTCCCATCACCCTGAACCTTCCACCTCCCATCACCCCCCCCCCCCCACCCACTTCCCTGCCCCAGGGCCCCCCTCTCTCCTTGACCAAAAAGGCCAAAGATCACCTGAAATACCATCAGCATACCCGTGATACACACTTATTTCTTGCTCCCTCTGTGTCCAACACTAACTGGTTTAGGCATGCACTCCTCATTCTCACACAACCATGATCTGCTCTCACATCCAAATCTATCTTGTATTGCTACATCTGCCAGACTTCAGGGCTAAATCCAATCCACCTGCAGCCAATGTTAAAACAAGACACTTTTGGAAAAAGCAGCTCAAGAAAATGGACATTTCAAAATGATTACAGAAAAAACACGTCTGTCAAGGAATTTAAATTCTGAATTTTCTTTTTTGTTCTATATTAAATATTCTACAACTTTTGAGTCGGGACATTTCTGTATTACTCCTGTGTGGTCACAATGTTTTTGTAGAATTTAATAATTTGAAGATCATTTTCTTGGTTATTGTCTAATGTTTAGCTGTTAAATGATAGAAAAAGGTTTATTTTCAAACAGACATATATGATATGGCCTGTCCAAGACATATCAGTTTGAGTCTGTGTTTTAAGTACCGGGTAGAAATTATTTAACAGAACATTTAATGTAGAAAAAGAATGCTTAGGATGATTGAGAAATTGCGACTCCACATTTTTTTTTTTTATCCTACAGCATATTTGAGTGTCCAAAACTCTCAGCACTGCTTGCACATACATTATGAAGCAGAAAATCACACCTACAGAAGACAGTGGTCTACTCTGCACTAGAATTAATTGACATTGTATAATGTTTAAAAATGGTTGCATCTGTGCCAAAATAAGGTCATTATTCCTTTCAGCTAAAAGATTCAAATCCACCACAATATCGTCAATCAACAAATATCAGCAGTTAGGATTGAAACCTTTATTGGCATCAGTCTCAAATATCTGAGTTGAAGATCAGCTCAACACTACAGATGTTGGCCCTAAACAAGAATTGGTTTCCTCCTTGAAAACAGCCTGAAGAAAAATCTTTTTTACAGTCTCACAAAAAGACTTTTCATTAATTGTCTTATTATTTAAACCCTCTGGGCGCTGATGGCCTGGTGGGGAGGCCACACCCAAGTTTCAACCTCTGGTGTTGAAAAAAAGAATGCTGATGCTGGCTGAAACACCCATACAAAGAAGATGTTTTCACAGCCCCTTAACATGTTTACACCCTGTTTCAAAAACTTCAATTGATCCGATTAGCTCGTATCTTCATCTGCACGCACTGTAGGGGCGTAGAATTCTTTTAATAATTCATCTGTTTTTATTTTTATGAAGGATAAGAGTTATTCATAATACTGCTGGAGCTGAGGCTTACGACCGCCTCAGCTCCAGCTCTTAGGGCGTGGTCACACTGGTCATCTGTACCGTACCCAAGCACGATTGCCCCTCGCTGTGTAATTCCCACACTGGCCGGCACGGCACGTGGTCACACTACACAGGACTATCTGTGCCTAAGCATGATTACCTCTTGTACATAACGTGTTAATACAACACATGCATGCTTTGTGTTATTATGAAGCGTGCTCAGTTTACAAACAGGCGGACGAGAGAGAGAGAGAGAAAAAAAGAGACGCGCAGTCGAGTCCGCGTCTGCACATCAGAGAAAAACACAGAGCATGACAGCTACTTTACTGACTTTACAGCTTATTTTAAGCCATTTTAATCAGACAGCCATAAATAAATTAACAAATAAAATAGACGTGCGGCCGAGTCCGCGCGCAAGTCCGTGTGGACGCCCGCACATCGGAGAACAACACAGAGAATATGACAGCTACTTTGTGGCTTATATTGTGTCATTTTAGTCAGATACAGCCATGAAACTCCTTAATGAAGGCTATCAGCATTGTATACCCGCGTGCTTGTGCTCGTGCATCAAGTGTACCGTGCCGAAGCACACCTCTCCGAAGTGTGCCAAAGCCAAGGAAGTGTACCGTGCCTGAGCACGATACAGAGCGGTCACACTGGCCAAACGAACTGGACTTTAGCGTTGAAGCATGCTTGGGCACGGTACGGATGGCCAGTGTGACTGTACCCTTAGCCTGGTGCTAGCCAGGTTGACACAGCATTTCTAGTATGGCGGCCGACACCAACTGGCTTCCAAAGCCCCTACAGTAAGTCAGGCTTCATCCACTATTATTTACAGTCTATGGTCACACCTCCATGTACAGATGCTCTCCAAGCGGGCGGCTGGGGTTCAAGTCCGACCTGCGGCTCCTTTCCCTCATGTCATTCCGCAATCTCTCTCCTAATTTCCCTAATCTATACACTGTCCTGTCTAAAATAGACAAAAAAGCTCTGAAGTCAAAACCTTGTGCATATGTGTAAGCAAAATTTTACGGATATATAAATGAGCCGGTCAGTTTATACGGTTCCCTCTTCCTTTCTCATGTTAAACTTTTCAAAAGATTAGCAGGACTGCTGTATGAAGAAGACTAAATGGGCACTGTTCTGCTTATTTTGGTCCTCGTCTTAACACGGTCTCAATCAGGTACAGACTTAGACATGACTCAACGGTCTCCCTACATCATCTATATTCTGGTAAACTGATGGGCAGAATTATGAAAAGCACACCTCCATTAAAATGTGATACTTAAATAATTATTTAAGTTAATATGGAAATAGTGGACTAAAGCATTCAAGTTGAAATGTCACTCAGTGAGAGACCTGGAGCCAACACAGAGGGGGGCTTTTTGTCCATGAACACTAGTATCCCTTGTACCCCCTTCTTTGAAGCCTCACTTCAGAACTTCATTAATACAAGTTATCTCTGAGGATAGCTATTAGTAAGGAAAATTGATTTAAATCATGCAAATATTTTGTAAACATCATTAAGATGTAGCAAATCAACACTTCCTCTAGTGGGTTAACCGAAGCAGCAGCAGTTCAGAAAGCATGTACAGTGTAATCTCTATAACAGCTTCTCCTCATTACTCAACATCGAAGTGAGACGGGGAGAGATCGACACATCATGCCTGTCTACTCTTCCCCCTGTAACAGCTTGTTACTAGACTCCGCTGCCACTGTGACATCCTTGTCCTGCTGCTGAATATCAAACAGGCCAACTTGAAATTGAGCGGCGCTGAGACAGAAAATGAAGACACGATGTCTGACTTGCTCGTTTTCTAAAATACAGAGGAGGGTGAAGGCTGGGAGTCAGAGGTTTTAAAAGTTATAGGAAAAACCAGCTTGTGACTCGCTCTGATCACCAGACCAGACTGTGATGAGTTTGATTTGAAAAGTGAGGGAGATGTTACGCTGATATTGAAAAACCACAGCTTGTAAAGTTGATTTGCGCTAAAGGAAATTGTTGAATAATAGATACATTTAGCAAACAAAAATTAAGAAGACTGCTTTGATAATCAATCATTTATTTTCAGGCAAAATCCCAAGCCAATGAAGCTTCCAGCTTTTCAAATGAGAGCATTTGCTGCTTTTTTCTCTCCTGAAATCTTCATAAACTGAGTGTTTGACATTTGGATGCTTAATCTTGCACAAACACATTTTGGAATCATCTCTTCTGATTTGAATAGGTCTGTTTTTCATTTTTCAAATTGAAAAGTCAAGAGAATTTGGTCGATAAAAACACAAAAGGCGTGAAATTAAGTCCATCTGGCAGTCAATAAGATGCAGTTCTGTTCTTATGTAAATCAGTGCTACATCCATTGATTATCATAATTTATTCGACAGATAATCCATTGATTATTTGAGTGTAACTGTTTTGTTTATAAAATATCTGAAAGAGATGTCTTTCAGCAGTTCTTTTGTCCATGAAGTTACATTTTTCAAATAATAAAGAAATGAAACAAGGGGAACAAGAAACGTCACATTTTCGTAGCTACAGCCTGTACTCTAGGCCTTTTTAAAAGATGAACAACCAATATGACAAACCAAATAACTTAACTTGATGATTATGTATTCTCTTTCAGAAACTAATTGAGCGATTGACTTCCTGACTTTCTATATGAACATGGACAGGGTCTTAGTGACATCACCCTGAGACGTTTTTGAAGCCAACCACGACAGTCACCTAAACGCTGTCTCAAACTAACTTTTGTTCAACCTAGTAACAGGCAAAGAGCTGGAGCTGAGACGGGCCTTATGCCTCCTGACAAACGATGCCCCCCCCCCCTCCATTCATGTATCAGTCATATCAGCATCACCCCTTAGCAAAACTCTTATCCTTAATCAAATCAAAGCAGATGACTCTTAACAGACCAGGCTGTAAATATGTTTATTTCTGCTGTAAAAACAGGCATTTTTCAATGG